AATATATATATGTTCAATGACCGCAAATAATAATAATAATTTAAAGGAAAATTTTTTTTAATAACTTGAAGAACCGTTTGACCGATTTGAAATTTAAAAAAAAAAAAAAATTATTAAAAATCAATTTCGTACATCATAATTATTATTATTATTATTATTAATAAATTTTTTAAATTTTAAAACAAACAACAAACATTTAACTTCGAAAAAATTCGTCCATTGTTAGCTTAGAAAGTAATGGCGAAGTTTTAAAAAAAAAAAAATTTACTTTCGCTAATTTAAAATATTATGATGACCGATAATCAGTTTGACACGATACAAAATGATAACGCTTATCAAAAAATAATAATAATAATAATAATTTGTATTTTACCTTCGATTCCCAAGATGGCTGCCTTTTTTCTTTTCTTTCTTTAGTGATGACCATGATGTCCCATATATCATTTCAATAAGTATCCTCCTTTTTTTTTTTTATTTAAATTTATTTTTTCATTATTGTTTTTATTAATTTTTAGATAAACGCCTGTAAAAAAAAATAAAATAAATAAATAAATAAATAATTTAAATAAATTTTTAAATAAAAAAAAATAAAACGAGTTCTAACTAACGGCAGAGATTTAAAAAAAAAAAAAAGTAACGTGTACTTAAGGCGATTAATAACGGAATATTTAATATGTAAATATTTACGTCAATTATTAAAATAACTGGTACCTAAAAATTTTTCTTTAATAACAAAAAAAAATAATTTTATTTAATTTCAGAGTCTTTGTTTTATTAATTTCCTATATATAAACATAAATTCAATGTAAAAGATAAATTTTTGCAGGAAAACAAACGGAACAAACGTTTTAACTCCTTTTAACGATTATTATTATTATTAAAATGTATTTATGATATCGTCACTTCCGGTTTTTCGTAACTTTATTAAAAAAGAAATTTTATAGGGAAGAATTTTAAATCTCTACACAAACTCGTATGAAAGTTGTTGAAATTTACAAAACGCAACAACAACAACAAAATAATAATAATAATAATAATAATAATAATAATAATAATAATTGAAGCAGTTTGATATAAAAATTTTACGCTTTAAAATTTTCTTTTTTTTTTTTTTTTAATTTGTAATTTAAAAAAATTTTTAAAACCGGTTAAATTGTTTATGTGGAAACGTTTTTTTTTATTATTATTAAAAAAAAAAAAAAATTTTCATATATTTACGAGTTATTAAAAAGAGAGAGAGAGAGAGAGAGAAAGAGAAATGTTGCTAGCTTTCTCTTTAATATTTCCCATATCTTTTAAAAAAAAAAATTTTTTTAAAAACGTTTTCACAAAATCGTAACAAATTAAATTATTATTGATTATAAATCGATCGAATTATTATTATTATTATTATTATTATTATTATTATTATTATTATTATTATTATTATTATTATTATTATTATTATTATTATTTTCAAATTTAATATAATTCAAATCTCTCTCTCTTTTTATTTACACGCACGTAAATATAATTTAAATCGAAAATATTAAAAAAAAAAAAATAAATTTTCGAATATTTCCGGTTTATCAGGGAGTGGTTAAGAATTGGAAAAAATAATAATAATAACGAAAACTTTTTTTTTTTTTTTTTTTCAAAAAACTTGTTAGATAAACAAACGAGAAACGCAAACGACAAACAAAACATCATAATAATAATAATGATAAAATTAGTTGTTAGAAAAAAATTGAAAAAAGAAAGTTGAAATGACATTTGAACTTTTTGCAAACAACAGAACAAAAAAATAAAATAAAATTTAAAATATTAAAAGTGAAATCATTTCTGTTTGTTTGTTTGTTTGTTTGTTGGAGTAATTAAAAAAAAAAATCAATTTTAAATTCGTACCTGAAAATTTAAATCTGATGATTAACCGATATTAACAACATTTTAAAATCAATCAATCACTAAAATAATTTTTTTTTTCTTTCCTCTCCTCTCTCTCTCTCTCTCTCTCTCTCTCTCTTTCTCTCTCTTCCCCTCCCCCCGTACCTTCGCCTTTTTTTCTATTTGTAAATAATCGAGTACCTTCAGAACAAAAGATTAGGTCAATTTTTATTTATTTTATTTTTTTCTCAGGTCAAATTTTACATACTCGGGTCAACATTGCTTTTGTTTTTGGCCCCCCCCCACTCCCCCTTCTACGTTTAACGCACGTGTTTTTTTTTGTTTATTTTCTACAAATTCGGTACGGCAGACGACACGTTCGTTCGAATTTTATTAATAATAACAAATATAAAAAAATGAAAGTAAAATTTTTATATTTAAATTTTATCCCTGACATTAAGAATAATAATGATTATTCTGGACCAATTTTGGCGGAAGCTGAGAATATCAAACAACAACAATAGAATATATATTATAAATTCAATCATCATCTCTTGGGAAATTTTATTTATATTATCAAGGTTAAATTTAAAATACTGTTACGGTGATCAGGTATTAGAAAAAATTTTCTTTTCGACATTTATGCCAATTTTATGTTAAAAAAAAGTTTTTAGAAGGTTAAAAAAAAAAATTTTAATTATTGCGATATCATATACAACTTTTTTTTGTTTCTCGTTCAATTTTTTGTTGTTGTTGGTTAAAATCAAATATTTTCCCGAAAATAATAAATAAATAAATAATTAAATTGTAAAAACTTACGTTTAAAAAATCGTCTGCAGTTTTTTTATTATCAGGAACCGTTTTTATCAATTATTAAATAAAAATAAAAAATCGACGACACAAAAAAATTTTAAAAAAATTTACCGCCAAAACACTTTTTTTCCTTTTTTTATTTATTATTTTTATCACAAATTAATATTTAAAAAAAAGGAGGAAAACAAACCAAAAAAAAAAAAAAAATTTAAATTAAATTTTTATTGACATTTCTGTCAAAATAAATAAATAAATAAAATTATTTAAAAAAAAAAAAACGACGGTTAAAACGAATTCGACAAAACGCGACCGTTACCAAACGATGCGAGAACACAAACTAAATAAAATTAAATGAGAAGACTGGGTCAATCAGTCAGGCACGGTATAACAAAAACCTGGTCGTAAGATAAGTATTATTATTTATAAAATGTGTACCTTAATGATACCATAGGAGTTGTTTTTTTTTTTTTTTTTTCTTTCCACAAACTGCTACCGTTAAGAGAATAGTAAAAATGACATCGTGACCTTTTTCTAATTCGGATCAATTGATAAAAAAAAAAAGGTTTTGTCAATTATTATTTAATATATCAAAATAGAAAGGGCCCTTATTTTTCCCCTATGGAGAGGGGAGGGGGAGGGGAGGGAGAGGAACTTGAAGAAAGTGAAAGGCGAAAAATATTCATTGGAAAGGATAAGACTGTAGGGACTGTAAAGGGGAAAATTTTTTTTTAAATTTATATTTAATTCTCGTTTTATTCCGATATTAATAATATTTATTTTATTTTTACTTATATATGCTTTACCACTCCCCCCGTCCTCCTTCCCCCTGGAATATTCTAGAAACAAAACAAAAAATTTTAATTCGAAAAAATAAACCAAAGAAAATTCCATAGGCTTAAAATATTTTCAAATGTTATTTACACGTGTTAATTTCTTGAACTCGTTTTATATTCAATTAACGTTAATTTTTTTTTTTTTACACGTCGAAAATTATAACCTAAATTTATTATTATTATTATTATTATTATTATTATACATTTCGATTAATCGATGTTATTACGGCGGCAAATTGTATTTAAAATACTTTTTTTTTAGCATCAAAACTTGTCATTAAGCCATTAGGACGTTTATGTTATTGATAAAGCAAAAAAAATCAAATTTTTGTTTTTTTTTTTTTTTTTTTTTTTTTACTAAATAGAATTAATAGAATTAAAATAAAATATAAAATGTAAAAGATAGCAAAAAATAAAATTATTATTATTATTTTTTTTTTGAATTTTTTCATTTCCTCAGGATATTACATGTAAACACAAATTACATGACATGATAATTTTTCAAGTATTTCAAGCTTTATGTTATTTATCTGAAATATTTAGGGGGGGGTAAAATCTAATAAATTTTCCTAACCTTCATTAAAAAATAGTTTTTTCCCCCCATTTCTTCCAATAATTTTTTTTGTATTTTATTTATACAAATATAAGGAAGTACCTATGAATGTTAAAAAAAAATGATTTATTTAAAAAAAAAAAAAAAATTACTAGAAACAAAGTAAATATTTCAAAATTATAGAAAAAATGTTTGTTAGTCTTAATTTATTGTTTATTAATGTTAAATAAAACAAAGGGAAAATATTAAATATTTAAAAATTTTTTAAATGAGTTATTATTACTGATAAAGTGATTAGAAAAGTTTTCATTTGAATCATTCAAATTTATTTAGTATTTCCCTAAACTTATATTATTTAATTAAAAATATGTTATTAAGGATTCATTTAGTAAAATAGAAATAAGACGAAGTAATTATTTAAAAAAAAAAGTTTTGAATAATGATAATGTAAAAGAAAAAAAAATGGAATTTCATTACTAAAACTTATATCCATAAGAAAAGTATTGAAAACTTAGGTTGTGCGTTATCAATACAATTTAGAATTAATAAGAAGGGCCCCAAAAAAAAACGTTCAGAAATCAAATGTTGTTTCTCAACCAAATGCCGAATGCATTCATTATTTACTAAAGATTAGTTTCTTGATATGAGTCATCTGTCATAGTTTAGAATACAATGATATCATTGAAGTGCTCAGAAGATATACTGCATTAAAAAAAAAAGAAATTAGTGATATCTGAGGTAAATAGTGAATTAAGAGGTACTCGGTTATTTGGTTTTTTTTATAATCTTAAACACTAAATGTTTTGCAGGGGTGTGGTATTAAGAAACAAGTGTCAATATGCAATTTGAGGAAATGAGAAAACTTATTAATGTCAATGCATTTAATCGTTTCAGATCAACATACTTATGTATACAAGTGCAGTAGAAAGTAAACAAGGATGAATTACGGAGTGGCACAAGACCCTAAAACAAGTGAGTAGTTACAAAAAAGGTTAGAAATAGAGTTGATTTCAAATTTTGAAAATGATAATGGATAAGAAGTATTCTGAAATCTGAATCGATTAATAGGAGAATAAGATAATTAGTATTAAATACATTTAAGTTCCAGAACCTTATTCCCAAGGGAATAAAGGTAAAAGGAACAAAATAACAAGTAAGAAAGAAGAGAAGAAAATTATTGTTAGGAGAAATGAGTGATTTGCAATCATGTTAGAAATGCATAATTCCAAGAAGGAAGTAGTGATTCATACCTTATCACGGGTATTTTTTTAAAAAGTTGAATGGAAAATAATTTAGGAGAGTTTTAAAAATGGAAAAGAGACAGAGAGAAAGAGAGTAAGAGAGAAAAGAAAAGGGTAACGACGAAAATGTTTTTTTTTTTGCAGTGTCTCACGGGTCTATGAAGGACCAGACCCTGATGTGGCAGCAAAATTCATACATGGGAGACTCCGGAATAAATTCAGGAGTGACCACACAAGCTCCTTCGCTGACCGGTAAAGAAGAAGAAATGGAGGAGCAATTGATGTTTGATTTGGATCA